CTCATAAAAGATTTACAGAAAAGTCACAGTATAGTTGAATTCAAAATGAGTGGAAAGGTAAGTGAGCATTTCTGAATAATAACATATTCAGGAAAAGACAAAGCATATCACCTCAAAATACAATGAAACAGCATTTTAAAAGATATCTTGGGAGACATTGCTCTCCCCTAACAACTCTTTAGAATAAACAGATTTCTTCAGGGTTACTTTGAACAACTAAAAACACTTAATAGGTAATTGGGTTGACAGTCACCCTGTTTTGAGACAACACTCCAGGGACACGCACATCTTGCTCCGAAGCAACAGCTTCATTTTGATAATCTGAAAAATAGAAACGTTAGCTTGATTTTTTTCTAGCTGAACTGATGCTGGTAGAGGAAGATTCCAGTTTATTTATTTCTAAGGGATATTGCACATCAAAGCCTGGATTAATTCCATTTGCTGCCACTTGGTAACTATTGGTTTTTAGAATATGATGCTACTTTTGCAAGATTTGATAATTTATGTTTATTTTCTCCTCAAGTTGGGGGCAATGGCAGTAGGAAATGAGGTCTGTGGCAGGAAATGAGATCTGTAGAATCATAGAATGTTGGTTCTGCAGGAGAGAACAGGCAAGGGAGGGGAATTAAGAGCTATTAAATTCCCGCTGTATGCCAGGCACTGGGGTAGGTGCTTCATAATTTATAAACACCACAACAGTCTTATAAAGCATGTACCTAATAGACCTAATTTGACAGATGTGGAAAAGGCTCAGAGAAGTCAAGGAATTTCTCCAGTGGTGCATAGATAATGCGGTGGCAGAAAAAGCATTCCAATTTAGGGCTATCAAATTCCAGTGTTATGTTCTTTAGAATTCACGAGGCTGAATCCCCAGGGAAGAAATCTGGCATCGTCTAGTTCGGTGCTGCAAAATTCTAAATTCATATGCATCAGCTGAGAGTCTTGCGAAAATGCAGTTGCTGATTCAGTGGGTTTGGGGTGGGGCCTAAGAACCTGCATTTTAAAATTAGCTCCCAAATCCTGCTGCCATTGTTGGTTTGGGGACTCCACTTAGAGTAGCCATCTCTGGTTTACCCTTTTGGATTCCCGTTGTGGAAATCTGTGGTTCAGAGATGAAGACCCTAAGGACGCAGTGTGATAGGGAAGAACAAAGCTGACTCCATATTAGATCTGTTCCTGTGGCTCCAGCCCTGGGCTCTGTTTCCAGTGCTGAGTCCTGCTGGTTCTGCACCTTTTGTAAAAGAATGTTGCCTAGAGCCTGAAATGTGCAGGAGAGCCTATTCTGAAGGCTCTGACCTTTAAGGGTAGAACACTTTTCCATTCATTTAAAGGTAAAACGTTGCAGAATAGAAAATAATATTTGTCTTGTTGGAGATTTACAGGAACATCATGACCTGACCTACATCACAGCTGCAAGAACAAAGGATCCCGACACCAAGAAGTTTGCACCAACCAGTCACGCCCCCTCCCCTTTTTAGTATAAAAGGAGCCTGAATTCTGACTTGGGGAAGATGGCTCTCCAGGACATCAGTCTGCCATCTCAGTCTGCTGGCTTCCCAGATTCGCCGCTGCAGGGCTGACCTTCAACACACCCTCAGGGCGGAAGTCAGGAGCTCGGAGGAGAAGCCAAGAATGTGGCACTCTGTGCTCTGGGAAAACTGGTAGAACAGGCTTCAAACAGATATTTTCAGAAGAAATTTTTTATGAACCTGGATTCTTCCCATACTTAGAAAAGCACTAAGACCATAAACTAAGATATTCATTCCCTGTGATGAGCAGCAGCGTTCTACCAAGGTGTGTGCTTGGTTGCACGCTTCTTGCCAAAATCACATATGCACTGACCTCCCGTCTTTGGAGCAGTTCTTCGGAGCTCTCTGAGAGGCTGTCTCCTGGGCTACTGTCCTCAGTGAGACAAGGAATAAACTCAACTTACAGCATTTACGCTGTGTGTTTTTTTTTGTTTTTTGTTTGTTTTTTTTTTTGGTCGACAAAGCGTGATGCACAAACAAGTCATGGAAAGACGTCCCTGCAATTCTTCTACAAGCGTCAGAAGCTCAAGTGCCCATGGCCAGGCACGTACAGGCAAGGACTCCGTGGGCCGGGCAGGGTGCCAGCAAATGGGAGCCTCCCAAGAGGCAGCCCAGATGCAGCTCTCAGGGAGCATGAGGAAGGGCTCAGGACTGGCGGTGACGCAGACTCTGCAAAGACCTCAGCCAGCCCTTGGAGAGCTCTGAAGCCTGGGTGGCCTCGGCGGAGTAGGTCCATCTCCAAGCCAAACAATAGAGATATTCTAATGAATTCAGAAAGGCTAGTTCAGCCTGCACTCTTCTATCAGGGAGCTAGGATCTCACTACACAATCCTATTTGCATCTTCTTTCAATGATTGTTTCCTCCTAGAACATCGACCCGCCTCCAGGGAGCGGGGAGTGGTGGGTGGGGGCCTCTCCATGCAATTGTGGATAATCAGATAATTATGCATTTCTGCTCTTCATACCCACAGTGATACTAGGGGCTTCCTTTCCCTCCGCATTGTAAGTCTGCCATAGGAATTCTAATTGACTTGTGTAGTTTGGCTTCAAAATGCTCCACTGAACAGGGGATTATCTTGTTGGCAATAGACTGTGAGAGAATCTTATTGAATGATATCAACTAGTGGTTCTCATCCAATACCAACATCTGGGTGAATGAGGCAACTGGGTGAGCCACATCCACTTAACATAAAGGTGGAGCCCTTGTAAGAGTTAGATGCCCTTATAAGAGTGACAAGGGAGATTGCTCCCATTCTGCTGCCAGGTGAGGACGCAACAAGAGGACAGCCATCTGCAAACCAGGAAGAGACCCTCACCAGTTACTGGACCCGTTGGCATCTTGATTTTGGACTTCCAGCCTCCAAAACTGTGAGAAACAAATGTTTGTTGTTTAAGCCAACCAGTCTAAGGTTATGTGTTGTAGCAGCCCAGACTAAGCACCTAGTAACTTAGCAAGAACATGGAATATTAAACAAAACCTATTTTGTTAAAGATAGGCACCTGGGGTTATCATTTATATATGATCTAATTTCTTTAGAATTATATGAACATAATGGAGGTTATTGAGCATTGTATCTGATCTAGAATTTGAGAACCTTATAGACTGGTATTGCTGAAGGAAAAAGAAAATGAAACACCAGCTTCCTGAAGGACAGAATTAACTGTAGTGGTTTCCCCCTTTAAAGGATAAGCCTGGTTGACAGGGGCAGACACAAGTGACATGGTCTCGACACTAGTTATTTGGCCTTCTAAGTTATGGATCGCCTCTCGTTTATTAGTCTCAGCTTGCTCAGCTACAAGATACAGGAGGTAGACTCAGGGATTGCAAATGTGGATTTCACTTATAAAACTCTGATCCTATGAACCATGTTTTATATTAACAGAGTGAGTTTTAACAAGCTTTGATATATAATGTGTATCTACATGCGTGTGTATAATTTTTTTAATTCTGGTAGAGAAAGACTTACAATGGAAGCATCTATCAGTAACCTCATCTCCCGTCTCCACTCCTCCTAAGGAATCACCCTTAGTGGCTTCTGGTGGAACCTCCGTAACATTAAGAGGGACGGACGCTTATGCTACTTCTCCTATTAATCAAGTTTAGATGATGGAGATTTTGCTTATACCTCCCACTGTATACAGTGATACAGCTGTTACGGAGGCCAAGCTCGCACAGCTCACCACACAACAGACTAGTACACTGAGAGACGAGGTGTGGGGACAAGGAATAGTGACTTTATTTGGAAAGCCAGCAGACTGAGAAGATGGTGGACTAGTGCCCCAGAGAACCATCTTACCCGAATTAGAGTTCAGGCTTCTTTTATACTAAAAGGGGAGGGTGTGTGGCTGGTTGTTGCAAACTTCTTAGTGTCAGAATCCTTTGTTCTTGCAGCTGTCCTCCTACGTCAGGTCGTGATGTTCCAGTAAACCTCCAACAAGACAAATGTTACTTATTCTCTGTTCTGTAACCTTTTATCTCAATATGAATGGAAAAGTGTTATACCTTTAAAGGTCAGAGCCTTGAGAATAGGCTACCCCTACACATTTCAGGCTATAGGCAACATTCTGAACTTGTAGCAAAAGCAACAGAACACAAAGGTTAAAGTAAAAGAAACCGATTCAACATGGAGTCAGATTTTTCTTCCCTATTCTGTAGTTTCTTAATTACCTATAAACATTTATGCCTTTGTTTCTTGTTTCATTTTCTGATTTTCCACTTTGTAAGGTGAAAATAGTAATCTCCCTATCCTTTATTGGATCTTTCTTCCCATTTCCATCTCCCATCTTCTATTATTTATATTGTCTTACTGTTACACATGTCTACAGTAGAGTTACAGTCTAGTCTGTAACCAGATTAAGTTTTGGGTTGGATTCCAACACAAATGTTGAAATGAGGATTCCAACCCTACCACCACCTTCTCAAGGGGTGTGTGTGTGTGTGTGTGTCAGAGAGGTAGGGGGGGATTTCTATGTATTTTTTCTTGTCTTTAACTCTACACTTCACTAGTTTCCTGTATTCTTACTTACTTTGACCATGTAATCTTTCCAGAGTTTGATAAGCAAATCGGCCCTTCCTCATGAGTTCTGGGCATAGCCTCCTTCACTCTGTTTTCTGTGACATTTCTCTTCTTCCATCTCCCAAATTTTTTGAAGTCTTCCACTGGGCCCCTTGCATTTCCTTTGATATAGTGGGCTTATTTTTTAGTCTTCTTCCTTTTAAAAATCATTTTAGAGCAGCAGAGGGAGAGGAAACAAGTACCTGTGTTTATCATCTTGACTCATAAGCTCCCAAAACACTATTATTAAATAGTAGCAATTTCTTGAAACACTGAAACGGAAATCCAAACATCACTTAAAATTTAAATATATTCAAGATTTAAATATATACAAAATAAATACATACTACATATTCATTTTCAGGGGAGATACAAAGCTTAAATAGAAACAGATAATTTTTAAAAAGGCAGATACAGAAAGTGAAAATGCTGTTTCAGCATAAAATTTATTTCAGGGCTTATTTCACACAAAGGAGTCAGACTACACGAGGCACATTATACAGTGGTGGTTGAGGAGCCTTTCAGCCTCTTTTCTTCTTTAAATGCAGAGCTGACAGAAAGGACGGGTTAGATGCAGTCCACTTTCTCCTCAGTTGGCTGACTTTTTAGAGAATTATACACCATGAAGCTAAACTGAGTAAACGCTGGCAGTTTATTGCAAGCAGCACCTGGGGCCAAAAAAGAGAAGGTTGTTTGGTGACATCTAGAATGGACATACTTACATCCAGTATGGACACAGCTGCTCCACCTGGACACTGGCTGCTGGTACCTGATGTCCAGTCAAGACACACAGACGTGGACGTGCGTCCTCCTTAGCACCAATTAGCTGACAGTCCATCTCTTTGAAACTCAGAATATAGGCTGAGTTTTTGCTCCCATACATGTGCTGTCATTGATACTATTATTTTACTGTTTTCATATCCTTTTCATGGCCAAAAAAAAAATTTCAGGCAGATGCTAAAAATAGTCACTAGAACATTCCCTTCATGCATCCGTAATCCTCCCCTCCCCAGGCTTCCTGTTCTTTTCACTCCTCTGCTCTGGCAGAAAGTGAGGACACTCATTTATCAAGATGCTGTCAGACAACAGTGATTTCTTCCCCTGCTCAAGCATCTGGACAGGCCCGTTCAAATGCCATTACCTTAAATATAAGGAACTGGTCAATTTTAAATTCATCTACAATTACATAATTATCATTTTACATCCTATTAAATCCAACTTTGAGCCTTCTAAGGTCTATTTCCTAAGAGGGAATCAATGAAACTGACTTATTTTACACATAAAGCCTTTCCCTGCCATAACTTATATTGACTTTCATGTTTCCGTACTTGAAAAAAAGAGTAGGGAATTCCTCAAACAAGTTTTTCAAATACCAAACTGTGGGAAGTAAAAGATCAAAGCACAGTAATAAGCAGTCTAACCTAGTAAGTGCTATTGATCAGTGGGCTGTGTAGCCTCCCGTCTGAAATCTCACTAATGAGGAGCCGCATGGTTGATCTTGAAACGCGCTGAAACTGTGATGGGCTCATACAGAACGTAAATGAAACAAAGGACATGCCTCAGATACAGTGCAAAAATAACTGTGCCAACGCCTTTGGTTTACTAATTAGTAATACATTTTGTACCTTGGAGCCCCAAGATCAAAATGACCGAGACATTTAACTAATGAATGGAAAAGAAGTGGGGAAGGTAATTTATTCCTGCCTACTTCTAATTAATAAAAACATTTGACTAGGTCAGCCCATCTCAGCGTGTACCTGAGCTGAAGGTAAACTTTACTTAGGACAGATGTCAGTGGTCAGAGCTAAGAGCCAAAGACTGGATCGCACCTACTGCCAGTCAACTGAAGGAGGGGTTCAGGTGTATTTTTAACACTTTGGGGTCCTCACACATCAGCACTTAACATTTACCCAGTACCTACTCAACAGTCTGTTCCTTCTCCACAAGAATAAAATACACGACAATATTGTAAAGTGTTCTCATCAACATGTGCAGGTTTGCACATGCATGGATTCCAAGTAAAACCTACCATAACCTCCAGTCACGTTGGCACATATTACCGCCCCAAAGAAGTTTGGGAAATACTTCTGGATTCTTGCAATCACTTTCTGGCACGCTGTGGTTGGATCTTTTCCTCTCCTCATATATTCTACAGCTTGGTAGCTGATGTAGACAAAAGGTGAAACTTCAGTATCAGCATAAACTCACTCCAAATTTGGTTCCTTGCAGTTAGAAATCTAAAACCATCAAAATTGTCACATTTGATAGAATACAGTGCACATAAATGAACAAAAGTCAGAAACTCCTGTGGGAGTATCAACAGGAAAGCAGGTGAACCCTGATACCATGTCTGTCTTTTCAATGAATCCATCCACTCCTTTCAGCTCAGGACAATTATTTTTGACTTTGGCTGAGTACCTGTTACTCAGGGGTAACAGCCAGAAGTCAAAAAGTCTAGAGGTTATATTTAAATACGAAATGAAGCTACAATCAGTGGGGAAAGTAACAGTCAATGAGCAAAACCTCTAGTTGTAATGGCTGGGTTTCAGTAATTAATTGTACACAGACTGCTTTCTCTATTTTGATCATCAGTTACCACAGTTTTACTCAGTGGCCTGACAGCAGTTATTTAAATGGTTCATGAGGATTCTCATCTGTGAAGCAGCGCGAGCAGGATTCTTCTGTTTCCGAGGACTGTGATTACTTAATTTGCATGATTAGCATTATCAAAAGGAGAGTGTAAAGAGTGGGTAAGCGGGGTTTCTAAAAAGCTCTCGTACACAGAAATTCGGATTACATGGCACAGACGATTATTTTCTGTCTTGCCAGATGGCATCTCGTCTAAAGAGCTCTGAAAGTCACAGATCTAAGAGGTCACCTTGGGAGAAAGCGCATCAGTATGTCACCGTCCCCAGTGGCAGCGGCGGCTCCCGCGGTGTCGTCGGCGTAGGCCCCTGACCCAGGTATGGGTGAGTCTCCGACTCGGCTTTGTAAGGGTGCAGCACAGGGATTCAGGACAGGAAATCAAGTGCGAAAACGTTTTATGAGATGTTCCTACTTAGCCACTGTTCACTGTTTTAAGTCAATTGATCAGAATACAGAGAAAGAAGACTGCCCTCAGTTTTTCACCTTAGGTTTTCGGCAACGGGCACAAACTACGTGAGAACCAGATAGTGCCAGCCTCGTGCAGCCGGAGGCCGCAGGCTCTCAGGGACCGGCCTCCCATCCCCACCCTTACCACCTCACTTCTGGATTGTCCCCACTTACAGTCTATTCCTGCTTTCTAGCTAATGTGCCAAAATTTTATCAAGGTTTCTCCTTGCATTTAACCTCCCCTGCTTTTCTACTCCTTTGACATAAAACCCAGAAATACCTAGAGACCCCCTGAAATCTGGCTCTGGTCTTCCCCTCCCGCACCTGACAGAGGTGCAGTTTTGCTTCCAGCCCTTAGAAGCCCTGAACGCAGGCATGGATTACTTTGAATCTGCTAGAGCCGTGGCTGGCATGTCCCCTGTCCCTCTCTGAGGCTCAGGGTCAGCTCCCAGCATCTCTCTCCCAGCCTCCCCAACTGCTCTGGCTTAATCTGATCACTGCTGCCATCCCTGAACTCTGCAGCTCTGGCCGAGACCCCCTCTCCTTTGCACTTAGCAGCTATCATTTGTTTTCTTTCCCACTTGTTCATCTCAGCTGTGCTTTGCACTTTGCACCCCCTGTAGCACTTAGGACATACTGGTTGACACACAACACATATTTTCAAGATCTGTTCTTTTAGAAACACTAACCCAGGTATTTTGAATTTTATACCATTTGTAGATGTACCAGCAGCAGTGTGTCCCATCTTATCAATGACAACCATGCCTAGAAGTTAAAAATACATGTATCATTGTAGGTATCAACTCTGAAGTGTAACTCAAATATAACCAAATAATTGAGCAGTTGGTAATATAAATATCCTCTTTCATCAGTATCACATAGAAGACAACAGGAAACTTAGGAATACTGAAAACTATAGCAATGGTATAATTTATGCTTTGCTTTTGCTTGAAGTACAGCTGATTTACAATGTTGTGTTAGTTTCAGGTATACAGCAGGTGATTCAGTTACATACATACATATATTCTTTTCCAGATTTTTTTTCCATCACAGGTTATTACAAGGTATTTAATATAGTTCTCTCTGCTACACATTAGGTCCTTGTTGTTTACCTATTTTATGTACAGTAGTAATATGTTAATCCCCAGTTTGTGCTTTTTAATGACCTGGTTTCATAGCATCATTTTGTAGACATCCCATATCCTCACTCTTCAAATTGCTCACTTTTCCATGCCTTTTCAAAGGTAATACCAAAGGAAATCACTGCTATGGCCTAGTGGAAATTTTCAGTACTACAGCTTGGAAAGATCACTTGAATGTGGCAAACAACACAAAATTACTAAAGAACTAAATGTCAAACAAATTTTTAAAAATCCCCAAGTGAACAGTGATTAGACTTATGTATAAGGTAATCTACCAAGATGTACACTGTGCTAGGTGTCTGCTATGCTGTACTATGTATAGATGTTCTGAAAAGAACGTGTGTGTGTATGCATGTGTATATATAGAGACTTTTTTTTCTTTAACTGGCAGTTAATCAAAATCACCTTCTGGCACATGAATAAGGATAAAGAAGTTAAGAACTACAGGAAGGCAGTTTAAAATGGCTGAACTTTAAACACAAAAACTGTATAGAAGGCAAGTTACCAATAGTATCATGACCGTAACCATATCCTGTTTCTTTGTGGATAGAACCATCTTGCTTAAAGACACTGGGTGGTTTGTAGGGTCCACAGTATTTTGAAGAATCTGGTATCACGTTCTGTAAACGAGATTTAAGATTTATTTTTTAGAAAGGGTGATTTTAGAAATCAGCAAGTAGTTATGCACAATCACTAAACATTAGCAAGAAACTGAAAGGACATCTGGTAACTGAAAGATAAGAATTAAAAGCCAAAGATTAGCTAAGTTTTATGTGAACAGATGGATATAATTTTACTAAATACCTAGTCTAGCCTCAGAATTACATAATATGGAGTAGACATCTATATTATCTGGGAAAAGAGCCTCAGGTTTTCTCTTTATATGTCAAAAATTCTCAGCACAATGGCAAATATAAATAATTTTTTAGATTAGATTAGATTTTTTAGATTCCTCGAAGAAATTACTACCTGACCTTTAAATTTTAGAGTTTATTCCCTGACCAAAGAAGAGTTATTCTGAGATTTAGAGCAAACTCTATTTTAAAACCACATATTTTTCAAAGCTAGGTTCATGTGAACATATTCTAAATTATACTCTCAGATTCTTTTATGAATCTTCAAGACTCAAGAAAATAATCCAGATTCATAAATTCAGGTTGTGCATATGGGTTAGTATCAAAGCAAGAAACCCACCATTCATGTCTTACTCCCTAGTGCACCGGGTGCCTCCTCCCGTACCCTGGTTCCATGCAGTAATCTCTTTCAAGTGACTCCTTGGTTACTCAAAGGAAGTTAGAATTTGGCAGAGAAACAAATGAGAGACTGAGCTACTCCACAGAAGGACTCTGGATGGTGAAGACAAACTGATTTATGCTGAAAGTCCCGTTGATTTAAAGACAAATTACCTTCCTAGTAACATACTAGGCACCTAACAGTATAAATCCTCAAGTTAAGGGCAAGATACTGGATACATCTTACATAGATAAAATATACGAAATATTTCAGACTCGTGGTTTCCAAATTCTGTGAGGGTATTTTTTTGTTTTGTTTTGTCTTTAACACATGGAACTTTTATTACAAGGATACATAGCAGAGCAGTTCTGAGTGAGGCAGCCCATCTCCCCACGGCAGAACCTTCACAGTCTGAAAGTACTGCCAGGGACCAGAAGTTCCCCACTCTGGACGTGGACTGGATGCAGCCAGGGAGCTTTCAAGAACATCCACACCCGGAGGCGGTTTAAGTCATTGGTTCTAAAATGCAACCAGGATGCTCACCTAGCACTGCAGGCAACAGGGAGACAACGAGAGCAGAAGGGATGTCACGTAACATTTCAAATCACTTACCTTTACAAATCATGCATACGTACCCTCCAGTAATTTGGCTGACAGTTCTGAGCAAGCCAGTCTGAATGGAGAGCCCGAGAGTCCTTGGTAGATAAATCCTCGTCCACAAACCCCATGCTCTGGGCAAATCTGGTGGCTGGAGATGGGGAAGAAAAATGTAAATGAGTTAGGGGTCCTCTCTCAAACAAAACAGATGCACAGGAAGTGTGCTGGAATCCGCTGTCTCCGAAGTGGAGCACAACCATCCTGGGGGTGAACAGAGACTTTCACAGGTGTGTTCAGATGTGAAGTTTTACTGGCATCGGTTTCTAGGTCTTAGCTTCCATCTGTCCTTGCCTCCTAACGCCGATCTGCTGAGACCCCCGGGGTGGGGTGTGATGACAGTTCTCCTTCCCCGCCACCCTCTCCCCTCCAGAATCTCCCTTCTACTTCACAAAAGGAAAAGCACACCTCTGTACAACAGTGAATCTTACGGACTGACCTGGGGTGTGACGCCCAGGGTGTCAAAAAAATGTTGAGACACCAAACAAGGGGACAAATGGATTCCACAAAAGAGTAACATCCTTTGTTTGTCACCAGTTTTCCATTCTGTACTTCAACAAAACGGAAGGACGCCTACTAGAGTTGTCTGCTAACACATCGTTAAAATCATTAAATCACGACAGATGGGGTATAGCTCAGTGGTAGAGCGTGTGCTTAGTATGCATGAGGCCCTGGGTTCAAGCCCTAGTACTTTTACCAAAAAAAAAATGACAGATCACTGTGCGATTTTTGGTTTTTATCCTGGAAGGCATTCAAGTCAGTGCCATCATCAGAGTGAAACCCCTTACGTTCTCTTCTTATGTCCTTGGGTCTCACACCCACAAAAACTTAAGAGAAATTATGCCGAATCCTGTTTCGCTCCAGCAACGATTCATCTACTGATGATAAACTGATTTTTTGAAAATCCTATTTTTAAAATGAATAAAGTACGATTTAGAAGTGAAGCAGCTTATCGGAAGTTAAATGGATATTAAGTAAAACAGCTTGAATGAATTTCAGCTGAGGTCTGCTTTTATCCACTATTCTATACTGAGTCCTTTTTCTACAGTGAAGACTACAGACAAAAGACGACGTAAAAATTGAGAACAGTTGCAACATACCTGACTCTCCCACTAAAAGTGTATGTGTTGTGTGTTCCAGCACTTTCCGTGCCACACCAACGGCGTTTTTAATTCGTCTAAGATCACCCACTGCTCCTACATTCATAGTAGTGCTACAGGGGAAAAAAATGCAGTAAGATGTACTACGGTATTTTTATAGGTCCATAGATTTAAAAACAATTATTTTAAGCTATAGTGTTTTGTAGGATAAACTCCACCATTTTAACACAGAAGTGACCGCACAGCCATGAAGTTCACCCAAATTCTCACAATCAGACATACTAAGGAACAAGCAAAATTGATTTACCATGTACTCCCAAAGCACTGAAACTCTCAGGTTCTCCTGGCTGGTTTGAAATATGGCTTTTGAAAGGGGTTTTAAGGTCGGGCAAACCACAGCATCTGTGGTTGGCAGCTAAACGAGAGTTTACCAGGTCAGAGACATATTTTTGTGCCCTGGGGGCTCTCCCTCTTCTCAAGAGACACGTACCTCCATGTGATATTTCTACTATGATGATGATTTTTTCTAATTGAACTATAGTTGGTTTACAGTGTTGTGTTAGTCTCTGGTGTACAGCACACTGATTCAGTTATATATATATTTCAGATTCTTTTTCATTGTAGGTTATTACAAGATATGAATATAGTCCCCTGTGCTATCCAGTAGGACCTTGTTGTTTATCTGATCTTTTCATCGAGGGGGAAACTCCTTGTGTTTGGAAAGCCAGGGACAGTAAGCTGGAGGTTGTGGCCTGGGACAAAACATCTGGATTTGTCCATCTTGCTCTTAGTAGAAGACTCAGCAACCATAAACATAACTCAACATGGAGCCCAGGTGCAGATAAACGAGGTTCTGAGGAGCATCTTACCCCTCCATGAGCATGGCATCCAGCGTGGTTTCTCCGGACTCGTCAGGGCTCCCGCCGAAGCCCACGGTGCCGTCACACTGCTCCACCTCACACGAGGCACAGCCGCCCTCCACCGCATCCAGGCTGGAGCCTCCGAGGGCTAAGGTCTTCCATGCTGGTAATCACATCCCGACAGTGCTTGTTTATATACTGATTTTCTTCCCCAATGTCAAATGCAACAAACTAAAAATGTCCTGAAAACTCATATTTAAAAAAAAAAAGTTTTCACGTTTACTCTTAAGTTAAACTGAAATGTTAATTTATCAAGTGCTACGAAGAAGCCAGAATAATAGAGACAAAATTATAGAACACAACTGTTTACAGTGAAGAATTCAAAGACTTTGGCTATTGATGTAAAGTGAGAGTTTTTTTTCCCCACTTATTAGTACCTATTTCTACTGTGTGTGGGAAAAGTAGTCTATTCTTCAGTTTCAAAAGTTAGAATTGAAATTGTAACTGAAGTTACAGCTGAAGTAAAAGACAAGTTGAAGATTCACTAAATCATAGCCTCATAAATTCCTTCTGCATCATCAGATTATTAAAATTATACATAAATAATGTTTTTATTATTAAGGTAACACCTATCAGTAGTCTCAATAACAAACTGTAACAGCAAATAATTACAACGTGGGCTTCACATGGATTAATTCAGTTAATCTTTCAGGTATTGTACAATTACTATCCTCATTTTGAACAGGAGGAAACAGACCCAGAGAGGTTAAGTAATTTGCTCGAGGTTACACAGCTAGTAGGTGGCAGAGCCAGGATTCAAAAGTAGCCAGTTTGGCTCCAGTGGCCATGCTTTTAGCACTAAACACTGTCCTGCAGAGCCCCGCACGTCAAAAATGAGAGGGGGAAAAAAAGGTTTTCAATGGTCAATTTCTTTACTAATAAAAACAGAATTCCTTGAAGGGTAGTGGTACTACTGGTAAGTAATTTTAAGTATTACTACTGTAAGAACAGGCTTGAAAGTATAATTGCCTGCAAATCAACATCACTTAGGCAGCTTTAAAAAAAACAAAACAAAACAGACAGATGCTTTGGTTCCAGCAGTGAAATCAAAATCTCAGGATGTCTGAGGCCCAGGCGCGAGGATTTCTGAGAAGCTCCAAGGATGATTTTAATGTATAACCAAGACTGGAACCCTGTATTCCAGGTGGCAAACACAGCGCGTATGCACGTAGCAGAAAAAAGTAAATGTAAAAAGAGTATGCTTTGTTTGTTAAGTATCAGTCACTGGTAAAGCTTACAGGGAGAGGGGTCCCGGGGAGACGCGACAGGTTAGGAAGGGGAGGTGGACACACAACCCGGGAAAGGACTGGATGTCAGGCGAAAGACAGCCTAGACGCCACTGGAAGGGTCTCAGCAGAAAGGCCAAAACTGCCCAGTCGGCAGCAGGGTGGAAATTACAGCGACTGGAGGCTGAGCAGACGGAGTTACCCAGCCGCTGAGGACCTAGGGAGCAGCGGCGGGGACGAAGATCCACTGCAGGGGACGCCGCCGCGACGCAGGAGGCGCAGGAAGGGCTGGAAGGAGCCCGCCGAGGCCCGGGCCCAGCCCCGGCCCCAGCCCCCCGGTGAGGTCGGCACTCGTCCTTCCCACCCGCAGGCTCTCCCGGCGCAGCCCGGGTCCCCGCACCTGCTTCGGTTGCGTTCCTAAAAGGCCAAGTGTTGAGGACCAGGGGCACCGGGCTGGAGCTGAGCACGGGGGCTGGGCCCAGCAGCAGCAGCAGTTGCAGTTGCAGTTGCAG